GCTGAGGTCCTTGCCATCGTAGGACCCAAAACGTAAAAGATCACCATGCGGAACTGGCAGCCCGCACAAGCGGAGCAGAATCACCAAACTCAAGCCATGACACACCTGCCACCGCAGACTCGGTAGGTCAGTGAGGAAAGCTATGGCACCGCGTAAGAGACACACGCCTGCAGCTTCTATGTCTACCTTCACGGATAGCCCAAGCGCCAACTTGCAAAGCTACGACCATGTCGTCATTATCCCCCCCCCCAACCCCACGGCAAGTCCGAATCCTTGGAAACGCACAGAAACGCACGACAGTTATCGACCCGTTAGCTACTACTACTACCACTGCTACTGCTTCAAGCTGCTGAACGAAGCCATAAGAGTCCCAATTCTTTAGTGCTGCACTCACGAGAACAAAGACCACTACCAATCAAAAGCTCAAGTTCCGAGAAAGCTGCAGAAATCGCACGATCTTCTCTAAGTGCTCTAACTTGACTGCACTTGGCCTGGCGCTCGATGGCGGCGACATGCTGCTCACCTGATTGAGTTGCGGCTTCATGGCGGCTTTCCTTTCCCAGATATTTTGATGCCTCATACCCCTAACCACATTGCTCGTAGTCCTCCTCTACTGGTAGCGATGAACGACAAGCATACATACATGCATAATACTACAATATACATACATATATATATATATATAGAGAGATAGATAGATAAATACGTACACCTACATACGCACATACATACGCATTTATACAAAGGCTTAGGTGGAAAGCGCGATGGCAAGATAAGCCAGCGTTCAACGTACCACAATGGCAATGCGAGCATCAAGCTACGTAAATATAACAACAAACAGTTTGGTAATGTGTATCAGAACACGAAAAGTTACGAAGTGGATGGCAAAACAGCATGGCACGGATGTGCGAGGATTTAGGTATGCAAATACACACGCAGTGGGCATGCATGCACATGCATGTACTTGCATTCAAACACAGCAAGATAGGGGTGCGTGTTTGTGTGTGTGTGTGTGTGTGTTTGTGTGTGTGTGTGTTTGTCCGTTGGTGCATCGGACGCATGTGCAGCAAGAGAAGTACACAGACAAACGAGCAAGCAAAGATACGTGGTTTTACATGACGCGACAAGTGCAGGCATACATATGCCCATGCAGCGGTTGCATATGGACAGCAGACGATAAAGTGCTTGTCCAGCTTCAGCTGAGCACAAACACCTGTCACCATCTCAGCCAGCAAGTAAGCGGTGTGAACAAAATGGATACAGACATATACAAGCTATGTGGTCGTTGCACCGTATCTGCGAATATAGGGGCCTGAATAATTAGACTAGGGCTTCAGAGTATAATTATATTATAGTTGACTAAGGAACGTAAATATATTTCTATGTATGCCTGCTTCTACACTTCTACGTTACCCATTCGCCGAGGCCGTAGCAAACCACTCGTAAATGTGCAGGCAGGTCAGGATTCCCCAGCCTGGAGCTTTGGGATTTCGGGGCTTAGTAAAATGAGCGGGTAGGGGTTGTTTAGGGTTTAGGGGGTTTAGGGGCGGGTTTTAGGGTTTTAGGGGTTTAGGGATGAGAGGTTAGGGTTTAGGTCTTGGCCCTTCGCACGGATCAGAAGCTACCAGGACTTGCACTTAGTGCTGAACGGTTCAGATTCTGTGGGTTTTGGGTAGCATTGGGGTTTTGGGGGACTTTGGCTTGAGGCTTCAGGATCTTGAAGTGATGACTTCTGCTGACAGGGTTGCTGCTGCGGCACGAATGTCAGTATCTAGCATAGGATGGCTGCATAACACTGTGACGACGCTAGAGCGATGGCAATAAAGCAGCGACAGTGTCGTCAGCCGCGATTCTTGCACGAGTAATAATTAGTCGCATACAGACACTGCATCAGTGCCGCAGTTTCGACTGGCTGAGGGGAGTGGTGTCGCAGTTCATTGTTGGTTTTGTTGAGAGGTAGTCACCATTCCTCCTCCAACTTGCTGATGGAAGGGGAATCCAACTTCCTTGCGATGGTCACTGTCTGTTTTCGTTTGACCTGTTACATGGATCTTGTAAAACACCCACGCATGCAAGATCCTCAACTCAGCCTTGTGGCAAGAGCTCACTCCTGAACAACAAACCCCACGTCTCTTGCATGGCAATTTCTGTTGAAGCTAGATCAATTGCAGATGGCCTTACTAATTAGTATTTACATGTCACATGGAAATACAACTAAATATGATGTCACAACCTCGCTCTCGCACGCACGGGTACATGTGCTGAAGTAGTGCTGCAGGTCCTGATGGGATGGTGGAAAAGACCTAAACCCTAAACGAGAGAGAAGACAAGCACGGTTTAGGGTTTAGGGCTAAAGGGGAGATAAGACAAGCTGGAAGTCCCAAGAAAGGATCGGGGACGTGCTTGTTGCTCGGTTTGTGCCAGTCCTCGCCCACCCCAATGTTAGGGTTTCGGGGCTCACCCAATAAATAGAAGCTCTCATCAGTACAGATTTCGTGGCAGAATAAGAGGAATGTGTTGGAACCATGCTTCTCCAAATGTATGTGTTGATGACGACGCCTCGAGTTACAAAACGAAACTTAATTTTCGGAGTTCAAACGGGTCTGTCTTTTTATGGCGCACAAGAAAAGTAACCGCACAGCCAAAAAAAACACATGACCCTAAACTGCCCTAAACCCAAGCTTATAAGCCCCAAGACCTCAAACCCTCAATTCGTGAACCCTTAAACCCTTAGCCCCGACGAAGGAGCTCATTATGCAAAACATGCAAAACAGGTCTTGTCTTCATAACTCGGGCAATGCTTCGTGAAGCCCTCTGAAGCACAACAAGATATGTCGTGGATCAAGCAAGTGTCTTGTGAAATGAGAGTTTCCGACACTAGGGACCCAAACAATGTAAACCCGAAGGGTAGGACCCTTCATATGGAACCCCTTTAAGAGACTGAAGGCTCCTTGTTTGATAGGGTCTAGGATTTAGGGTTTAGGGTTTAGTCCCCAAAAAAAACAAGCACCGCAAAGACTTGTTCAAGCAGTTTCAGCCTCAAAGAGGTAGCCGCCATTATGAGAGCTCCAGGAACAGAACGAAACAGCCTTTGTGAATCCCTCATCCGGGAGCCCTTGCGAACCCCACTAGAAGCCAGATGAAACTCCCTCCTTGAACCCTTTAAGCCTCTAAGCCCTAAACCCTCTAGTGTAGGAGCCTTAATAATTAGAATAGGGTCTTGGGGCCTTTTATACTATAACTACAATAAGGAACCCCCAAAATGATATGAGTAATCATTTAGGCCCCTAAACCCTAAACCCTACATTGCACTAAGACTCCCTGCTCTGGGCGTCAGACAGAGACGTGAGCTGAGCTTGCGCATGTTGAGGAGCCCGATGGGCAGAGCAGGTCGCCTGCGTCTTGGAAGAGGGTTCCGGTTTAGGGTTTAGGGTTTGGGGTTTAGGGTTTAGGGTTTAGGGTTTAGGGTTCAGGTTTAGGGTTTAGGGTTTAGGGTTTAGAGTCATCTTCTTGACTGCCTTTGGAAACTAGGGGTTCGAGTTCAGGGTTTAATAACCCTTTGGAGCTTTATACCCTAAACCCTAAACCCTAAACCGCAATTATACTTACAGACAGCACTAAAGTCATTAAACGGCCGAGGCCGAACTTCTTACGGAGAGGAAACTTCGGCGCACGGTCTGTCTTGGGACTTATCTGGGGGTTTCTGAAAATAGGGGACCCTAGTATAGTACCCTAAAAAGTAGAATCCTTATGATAAGGACCCCAAAATACGGTACTCCCTATTTTCTGAAACTCCCATCTCCTCGTGCTGCTCCAGGAAACGAAAGGCAGCAGGAACGTCATAGGCGATCTCATGCTTTGTGGCCATATTGTGGACGAGAAACTCGACATGGCCTGCTTTGCCATGCTTCATCACCGACATCAGAAATGTCAAGTCCACAGAACTTTCGTAATCCGTGTCCTGCTCGTGGAGGTGGATCAGGAGCCTGAGACAGTCGGATTTATTTGCATTTGCCAGTTCGATGGCGATGTCCAGGGCATTCCTACCGCTCACCTCCTCCTTCAGCCAAAAGGCCTGCCTTGAAGATCAGCAGATGCCTTACCACGGAAGTGTGGCCTTGCGCCAACGCCATCGCCGCTGTTACCAGTTCGGAACCGTTCGTCAACCGCTGTTCCAAAATGCGCTGGAAATTCTGTTTGGCCGATCGAAGTTCCTTCACAGCCAACCGTGGCAAGGTGCGTCTCCATGCTATCGCTCTGCGACAACATGCAGACGCACCTTGCCACGGTTTCGCCTTCTGGGCGCACATGCTGCCGCAAGAGTCCGAGCAAAAGGGCCGTCTGCCCATTCGCAGCTTCGCATCCTGTAGGTCTTGTCGAGCTTCCGCTGAGATCAGGGCCCATGCTGCACAAAAATGCCCCGGGTCCATCGAATCGTGCAGGGCTATGCGCTCAGTGGTCTTTTCCTGGAGCTTCACATTCGCACGCTTTTCTATGAAGAGCTGCATCATATCGGTGTTGCCCTGTGCAGCCGCCTCGTGGAGCAACGGGTCGAGGCTCTCATTCAGCACACGAAGCACTGACTCGGCATCTTTCTTGGCCCACTCCAATGTATTTCGACGTCCGAGATCGTCGTCGGCACTTACGTCGGAAACGAGTTGCCTCTTGATCTCGAAGGCCCTGTGGCCGCTGGACTCCTTCGTGAAGAGCATGTATTTCGTGGTCAGTTTAAGCTGGCAGATTAAACCACCTGGCACCCGAATTGTGCGCTGCAGGTCGCGATTTCCACCATCAAACGGAGCTTGATATCTCGTTGAACTCCACGACACGATTTAAAGCGTCCGTTTCGATGAGCTGGAGTCCTTTATACATATCCGTCAAGTTAGACAGACCGACATCGTGCGTGACACCCTGAGCTACGAGAACTAAGTTCTCGTATCTCAGCGTGTCACGCACGATGTCGGTCTGTCTATGCGAAGCCAAGCTCAAGTACGTGGACAGCGCTGGAAAGATCGAGTGGCACAGACTCACTGTCGGTGAGTCTGCGCCACTCACTCTTGCCGGCGCTGTCCACGTACGTGATCTTGGCTTTGGATAGACAGCGAGCTTGGCCTTTCAAATCTAAATGGGAGTTTCCAAAAATTAAGGAGCCTTATTTTGGGATCCTTATAATAAGGGTCCTACTAGTTAGGGTGCTATATTAGGGTCCCCTATTTTCGGAAACTCCCAAATTGAAGAAAGTAAGTGGCCCCGGTCTCTTTCGCGACCCGTTCAGCCAGGCTGAAGACGCTGACTGTGAGGCCGATGATATGGCAGGAGGATGTGACAATGTGGACGACTAAATTCCTGCGGCTTCTTTCTATCTTCAAGGGTTCCATCCCCTTAGCATCAAAATAGCCCAAAAGCCTTACATAATACGGTCTTTGGGCCCAAAAGCCTTACAACATGATCCTTTGAGGCTAAGGGTAAGTCTTGGGCTTAAGGGCCGTGTAGGGTTTAGGCTTAGGCTTTCGGGTTTAGGGTTCAGTAAGGCTTGGTTTTGACTTTCACACCACAGCCCTATCCACAGTTTGAATAAGTGACTTATGTAGTCCAGCTATGTCCCTGAACTTCTTCGAAGCAGCTGCATATAGGGGCCTTTCTCTAGAATAGGCTTTTGGGGTATATTTTACTATATAACTATGATAAGGAAGCCCCCAAAGCAGTACCGGTAATTATTTACCTAAACCCGAAACCATGAACCCTACACCTAAACCCTAAACCCTAAACCCTTGACCCGGAACTCTAAACCCGTATACCCCTAAACTTGAGAAGCCTCAAGTACCTAATGCCTACTCTAGGGGCCTTAATAATTAGAATACGGTTTTGTGGTCCATTATACGATAACTATTTTGGGGCCCATTATACATTATACTATAATTACCCTTATGGTTTAGGGTTTAGGGTCTAGGGCCTGCGCCATCCTAAACCCTAATCCCGAAGCTCCCTGACTCCTGAACCACAAATCCCCAGGGATCATCGCTTTAAGGCGTGTGTATCGCTAATGTAAGGGCCTTAAAATAATTAGAATATATTGTTTTTTTTTTGGGGGGGGTCCTTCTCATAATTATAGTCTAACATACCCGCAAACCCTGTTCTAATTATGGTGACCTGTAAGTTCGAAGCTTAAGGTTTGAGTGCTATTTGCATAACGGAAGGCGGTGTCAGTCCTTGTAGCGGCATGCTCAGGGTTACGCTGACGGTGTTGGGTTTTAAGATGGTTTGAGGCTTTCGGGGTTGGGCTTGAAGTTAGGGTGGCTTTGTGATGTTTTCGGTGTCAATATGAGGTACCCCTCGGATGGGAGCTTCGAACCTCCTTAAACTTAAACCGTTCAACTTATACCCCCGATGAGGTCGCTATAAGAACCTAAGGAACCCCCTTCTCTTTCGCAAAGCAAAGCGATCTGAAAGAAGAGGCTTTATAATTAGAAGTGT